TTAAATTAAAATAAACCTAGGTGTACACGCCCGTGAGCCTATTGGCTCGCCTTTATTGCAAAGAGCTTCCAGGCTGCCGGCGCGTCTACGGAGTGAATTAGTCTGTCACAATCACTCCAAAAGTGGCCAAATTTCAATCGAGCAGAAATGTCAACTGAAAAGTCACGTGTTTCTATACAAGGTATATCGACAGTCACCTGATATTTCCCACAAGCTTATATGGCTTATCGAAAATCACGTGCTTCTATCAGTGTCCTTTTCTGCTCGGTAGAAATTTGTCCACTTTCGGAGTGAATAATCGAAGACCCTAATCGAACAGCCTGTCGAACACACCTATCATACCATATTAAGTCTTCTAGGTGATAGTGCTTTCTCAGTTCGTACGGACTGGACAATCAGCTAAATCATTGGTCTGGTGAGTGCTCGGTATGGACCTATACTTAGTATGCTGTGGGCCCAATGCTGTATGTGCTATCGATTTAATTGGAACTTACCACACTATGTGAGTTTCATTGAGCAAAATCCATTTTGCTCAGTCCAGATGTGGTCAACAAGAGGAAACTGTCGAACACATATGTCATGGCGCATCAACGACTCCTCTAGGTGACGGTGCAACGACGGGCAAAATAGACTGGACAGCGCTATGGATCGAATGGAAACTTGCCGCAATAGGGGAATTTCAAAATTCCAATTTCCTTGCGGTGAACAAGAAAGTCGAGTTGTAGTCAAGGTGTAGTCAACAAAAGGGAACCGCCAAACGCATCTATCATACTAGCACATCAAAGAGACCTCTAGGTGGCAACGACGGGCAACATCAAGATCGAAACCCAACAGCATCCGGCCAGCTTGAAGGCATCGCTACATACTTATGTATCATATCGAATCCTCCAGGTAACGATGCAAAGTAAGCCTAAAAAATATAGCGGACTCACTGCCATAAGTTCTTATCCTCCATATCATCGCACTGCGGCTGCCACTGCCTTATTCCAACATCAACATCACCTTGCAACTAACAGCAACAGGCTGTGGGAACGGAGATCGGGGGGCACGTACTGGGGGGGTCAGGTGCGTGGTGCTGTTCTACTGATCTTCCTATCTCGAAAACGCCACTGAGTTGTGGATCAAGAGCAGATGGAATGGTTTAAGTCAAGAACGTTTTACAACGAGCAGCTTATCTCCACTGATAATCGGAATTTGGACATACAAACAGGTGTTCTACTGATCTTCCTATGTCGAAAACCCCACTGAATCGCGGATCAAGAGTAGACGAAAAAGGTTTAAAATCAAGAACGGTTGACAACGCGCGACGGTATCTCCACTGACAATCGGAATTTAGACATACAAACAACAACAGCACTTAGCACTCAAGTACACTTGTACAAAACTCCGCCGACGAGTTGAATCTACATACATAATCCAGACATACATTTTGTTTTTACGATCTCCCCATCTAGAACCATCATAGCACGCCTACTACTGCGGCCTCAATGCCTGAGTACGAGGAACCTTCACCATGTTAGCGGCCGCCTTGAACAGGAATATCGGCTCGGAGCCATCACCCTGTCGCAAAGAAAACAATCAGGTTTAGTCAAACAGAAATGGGGTGAACGGTTATTAGGATAAGGTATTCGGAGAGAAACTTACAACAAAGGTCGTAGGGAACCCGACATCGAACGGTACGACGCTCTCGAGCTCCTTGATGTGCGCCTCGGTGAGGCTGATATCCAATGCTTCCATGTTAGCTTTGAGGTTCTCGACTTTGCGCCCTCCGATGATAGGGAACACGTAAGGTGTCTTCTGCATCACGTACGCGATGGCGACTAAAAAGGTAAAATTCAAATTCAAGCATAGTTAGCGAAAAAGAAAAAAGAACTAGTCAAAGTAGTAGCCACGCACCAGCAGAAATACTCTTCGCCCCAATCTCTTTCGCGACCTTTTCAAGAGCATGAGAGACCTTGACTTCAGCCTCGGTACGTTCCCAGTCCGACCCATGCATCATACGCCCTTTCTCTCCGGTTTCCTTGCGGCGTTTCTCTTCTTCGTCGGAACGGAGTCTACCCGCGGCGAGGACACTCCAGGGCGCGAGGGCCAGACCGAGGGAACGAGCCATAGGGATGATGTCGCGCTCGAAGGAGCGGTCCATGATGTTCCATTTGCCCTGAGGGATCGAATGTGGTTAGAAGGTAGAAGGAAGAAGGAAGGCGAGAAAAGAAAGAAAAGAAAAGTTACGCACTTGATAAACAACAAAAGGCGTCTTCCCGTGGTCTTTGGCATACTGATTAGCCTGCGCGACGACCCAAGCTGGGGTATCCGATATGCCTAGATAGATGACTTTCCCAGACGCGACAATATTGTGCAAGCTGTCCATCACCTCCTCGACGGAGGTGTCCCAGTCCCACCAGTGCACATACAAGATATCGATGTAGCTCGTGCGCAGTTTCTTGAGACTGGCTTCGACGCTAAGGTGGAGTGATTTGGCATTGTTGCCGGTGTAGTTGACTCGTTGAGTGACGGAAGAGTCGCCGATTTTGTAGCAGGTTGTGTACTGAGGGAGTGGCCAGTTAGTCCATGGGAAAGAAGAGCAAGATGCGGATAGTGGGGTCGTGGGAGCGTGATATATTGTATAGTGATAAGTACCTTGGTTGCGATAACCATTTGATCCCGATTCCCGCGTTTTTCCATCCATTCGCCGATGAATTCTTCCGAGGACTCGTCTTGACTGAAAGCAAAAGCCGTAGCTCAGCATCCTGATCCGTAACCGGTCAATGGTTTGAACAACTCACTAATTGTTAGAGGTATCGATGAAGTTTCCGCCCATATCAAAGTACGCGTCCATGAGCTCGAAACTCGCTGCTTTGTCCATAGAACCCATGAACTGTTGTCGATGTTGTTAGATGGGCTGGGTGATGAACGAGAGATTAATTAGTCTTACAGAGTTCCATCGGTCACCGATGCTCATCGCGCCCAGGCATATCGGGGAGACGCGAACACCTGCACGAGGACCCAATACTCTGTAAAGGCCTATTACACAGTCAGTATCATATTGCTGCGTGGCTAGGGAGAAATAAACTCGCCTAGTTTTGTAGGAGGAGGAGGGGCTGGTTTGAAGGCGGACATGTTGTTCTAACCTTTTGAGAGTGAAGTGGGCAGTTGTTGTTGGTGGTAAGAAAGAAAGAAAGACAAGTAATGAACGTGCTACAGACCGAGGCCTTTTTATACGCGAATCGACCTGATGAATCAGCTACTCCCTCAAGTTAATATTGTTTCAAAAGCTTTGTCAAGCGGGTTGACTTAAATCCGAACCTCGGAGCTATCACGGTCGATTCGAAAAGACGCGTCTTTTCTACGCGTTGTGCGCGTCGAAAGTTAATGATTTTTGTATGCTTTGGTGTCTTTTTTTTTAGTTTGATCAGGCGAAGAGTTTTCAGAAGCTAGTTCTTCGTGGTAGTTCAGAAACGCGTGTAGTACTGGTTAGAGCTGAGAATTCGTGAACCCGCGATTTCCCATGACGCGTTTCCCATGACGTCAGTCATAGCGTCTGTGATTAACAAGCGCCTATCTCTCTTTCTCTTCCTCTCTCTCCCTCTAGTCCAATGGCGACCAACTCACCGCGATGGCAAATCGCCATAACTAATGCTCTAAAGAAATATGAAAAATCTACGGGTACGTTTGCAAGTACGCAACTTTCTTGACTCTGAAGTATACTGATTATCTGATTTATTTTTGGCCTGTGTTCTATACGGTTCTATAGTGATGCAGCTGTCTTCTATCGATGCGACTTCGCCAGTTCCATCTGTTCGATCCGTCATATTCAGGTCCTTTCTAAATCCCACCTCAAACCCCAGTCTTCCTCTTATCCTCACAACAACCGACGTCCGCAGCCCCAAAACCGCCCAGATAATCGCCAATCCGCATGTCCATATCGCATGGTGGATCGAAGGGTCACAAGAACAGTACCGTCTTTCGGGCTTGGGATGTATCATACCTTCACCGAAAGATCATCTACATAAGCAGTTTATCCATTCTACAATATCCTCTGCGGGCTCAGGTTCCGGAATGGCAGCGCTGAACCGAGACAAATTCGACTGGGAAGCCAAGCGGCTCGAGGTGTTCAAGACGATGAGCCCTTTCATGAAAGCTACTTGGTGTCGTCCCACGCCGGGTTCGGCTCTGACTGGTGGCGAGGAAGAGGCAAAGAAGTGGCCGGAAAGATTAGACGAGCCGAAGGACCCTGAACGACCGGATGAATCCGAGGAGGAAAAGGAGAATAGGAGGAATTGGGAGATTGCATTGCGGAATTTTGCGCTGGTACTGGTTGATCCCAGCGAGGTGGACTATGTGGAACTTGGCGTGCTACCGAATCGGCGTACAAAGTTTACTAGGACTGTGCAAGGTAGTTGGAAGGAGCAGGCTCTTGTTCCTTAATTTCAGGTGATATTGGCGAAATGTAGGCTATACTCGCTTCAAATTGCCGCAATTACACTGATATAGACAAGAGGAACAATACATGTCGTTCCATGTTCGGATATGTGCACAGGCGCTGATTTCTTGTGATGGATATGTAATGCCCGCCGATGATTTCCATATGAATCATGCCGACGTGTCGTATTTTCATACTTTCGTTCTTCACCAGTTGATAACTGCTTTGCAAACTGATGGAGCAGGCAGGGGCTTTGGAACCCACGCTCGCGTCGGTAGGTTATATTGGACGGTAATATTAAATCATTGTTTTTATTTGCTCAGAGCGCCCCCGCGGCATCCTGTAAGGTATCGTCAAGGACCATGGTATGCGACGGTATACCATTTAAGAAGTATGGTCCTGGATACCTCCATCGTACCTGTACGAATATCAACCTGAAGGTAGACTCGAGCTGAAAGGATTGCGATATTGAGTTGATATTGGCATACCCAAAATTATCACCCACATCCTAGGAAATACGGACTATTTGGCTTACGGTTATCTGACTATCTTGAAGTCGGGCACAATTTACCTTACTGATTCCAATGTGGTGTAGTGGCTAACATTGCTGTCTTTCATCTGGGTGAAAAATTACGTGAGGCACAGCAGCCCGGGGTTCGATTCCCCGCATTGGAAATTCGCTGACACCAAGTTCAATTTTTTCTCCTTTTCTTTGAATTGTTAAACACTCCCTCGAATCTAACCTACTACATCCAATCACGCAGACAATTTCCTGAAGGTCAACCACCTCCTACAACTTTAGATCGATCTCTGAGCCGTGTGCTTTCATCTTGGACAAAAAATGCCTACGTGCAGTAATCTCTCAGGGGTAGCAGGAACACCTGACAACTTGTCGGCCGAGGGTTCCGGTTTGCTTTGTAGGAGATGGAGTGGTCACTTATGTGATAATTGCAAGTCTCAACGAGCATTTGAATAATCTGATGTGGTGTAGTGGTCAACATTGCTGTGAACCATGCTCCGAGTCTCCAGCTTCTGTTCACAGTCGCCCTGGGTTCAATTCCCTGCATTCGAAATAGTTTGGAATTAACAAGATCTACTTTTTATTCCATCTTCTTATATGTATGCAATCACTGAAATTTTGGCTGAACTGGGACAGAACTTGGACAGAACAACACCAGGAAGAAGAAAAATATTATGCTCTTGGGCAAGGCCACCCAGTGGCCTCAGAGAAAGAGAGATTGTATTGATGTATCAGATGTCTCTCAGACTCAGAAGCCTGGTCACTGGAAAGTTCAAATGTTGGAGTGAATTAAAGAAGTTGTCGAATAAGCTCTAATTGTTGGAGTGAATTAAGCAAGTCGTCAAATGCACCTGTATAGCCCCATTATCTATATGTGTAGTACATAGCATGTCCCAGTTCAGACATGCTATGTAGATATATGGATAAGAATTTTATACCATATATAGATAGTATATGTTGGTACCCTAAAGGTACTTTAGCCCTAGAATCTCATTAGCCACCTCTGGGGCCATGTAGCATGTGAATCCACTATCAACACTGGTGCTCAAGGCTCAGAGATATGAGTAGATATTTTACATGACTATATAGATGATGAAATAGGCCTAGGTAACATATGGTAGTTGTCAGATGTATGTTGGCACTATGTGTGCAATGATATTGTGACTCCCGCTGTGTCGGGATTCCCACGCCTCATAGGTGGTGCAATCGTACAAGTATACATTCATTAAGGCGCAAGATTAACCAACAACAGCTAATTATAAGTCCACCTGATAGCAAGAAATCCAGCTTAACTGACCATCGTACAGACCACACTGAATCCCCATACCTACAGGCATTACCAGTCAACCACCAGGCTTTGAAGGATATTAGGGTGTTGTGCCGGGAGGAGGACACAGAGCCAAGGAATGTTGTATCAATACAGTTCAAGATCACAGATGAGCAGGCAGCTCGTCGAGCTGTCACTGATGGACTGTTCCTGTGGGGCACTTGGTGCTGCACTTTGGTGTACCACCCACAGCCTCGGGTAAGGAGGAACTGAAACAACTTCAGCAGGACTCTTCTTGGCTACAAGATGTCTGGTCCTCATTATGCTTCACTATGCCCTGAGTCTTTTCTCCTTAATCTCTCACTATTTTGCTTGGGCCCCTGGGTGAACCTGATACCCCAGAGCTGTGCGCACAATAGGAAGGTCCATTTGCAAACAGTAAAAGAAAGGGAAATTTTTCCTAGCACTACATAATTCTAATCCCCCTCTTCCTACCTACAGCTTCTGTTTTTATTCACCACCTGCCTATCGGCACATCACAGAAATCCCCCTTCTTTACCTAGACTAACTTAACTAGTGTAATACTGTGCCCTTCCTGAGGGCATTCCACGTAGATAGCTGTATGCGCATCATGAGGTTCTCCTCCGCGCGCAATAAATTGATCTCAAAAAAAAAAAAAAAAAAAAAAGTGCAGCCCTTGATTTACTTACCGCCCCCATATATATGAACCCCTTTCAACGCCATAATTTTCTTCCATGTACCAAGCAACCCCAAGATTCTCTACACCATGGTCACCACAAACATGACTTGGGGTCCCATGAACTTCAATGGCATTGAGAAATAGAGAGAGAACAGTCTGTGCATGATTATTATCATTGGCCTGAATGGCTGTAACAAGCCTAGAGAATCCATCCACAAAGGCATGAATTACTACTCTCCAGTGAATCAAAGCTAACAAAATTTCATTAGTCAAAGGTCAAAGTAGTATATACTATTCAACATCTGATAAGACGCACTATGTTGTCCATCATGATGCCAAAGTGAATTAGGGCCAGCAACTTGGTATCTTCTATGCTTGACAGGATGAGAGGTAAGAAAAGCAGGGGCACCCGTGACTCGTTCATAAGATTGTTGAATTTGGGACCTAGGTACATGATGACCAAAGCAGCGCAGATGGCCTGAAATCATTCTACAGCCAAAGGCAGGAAATGTGGCTGATAATAGAATCCAATTCCTCATTGCTCAGAGTGGACATTTCTCCAGTGGATGATTTGTAGAAATGAACAGACTCGCTTGTGTCTGGATCATCATATATAATATATACTGGGGGACATGGCTGTTGGAACTAAGAGACACGTTAGTACGATGTACAACTAAGCTCAGCCAGAAGTGATGAAGGCTTAATCATATTACCATACCTAAGAGACACGTTAGTACGATGTACAACTAAGCTATAGGTACAGTATGAGCATAATGGACATAGAGCATAAGTATAATAGACATACCTCAGCCAGAAGTGATGAAGGCTGAGGAAAAGAAGGGAACGTCGATACGTACAGTATAAGTAGAAATCTGTATCAATGAAATAAAAGTTAAAACAAATGATAAGAACTCGGGTCTGATATCTACTCGGTATTGGAGTTGTACATACCGGCGGCCATATACCGCGGACCGAATATCCAACAATGGCTCGGCCAGACCATACTCCAGAGCATGGCGATGAATGGTGCGACTGGAACAACCAAAGACAGGCGCCAGATGGGTGACCCCTCTAAGGCACAAACTTGTTTCAAGGATTGCAGGATCAATTTCTTTACGAGGGCAGCCTCCATGTCCAGTATGTGCAACATGAACAGGTTCAATGGGTGGATGTTCAATAATATCCTCTGAGCGAGAAACGGCACTATTAAGAGCGGTCATCATATCTGTAACTCCAGTTTGGATAATATTGAACTCTTCCTCATCAAACAAGTTGCGTCGCTGCAAGAAATATTTAGTATAAAGATTCTAGACAGTACAAAAACTAACATACCTGAAGGACTGATTGTAAGAACTCCTCTACAGCAGTCTGCTGCCTCTGGATGCATGATACATCACCTATTTGCAAGTGCAAGGTTTGAGAGACTCATGCACCAAGTTCTTGATAGGCTGTTCGGACAGCGTGTACCTGGAGAGTGTTATGCTGGGGGGGGCGGTCTGCAGCAAGTGCAGCAATAATACTGAGAAGCAATAGAGCTCTTCCCAAGTTCATGGTTAAATAAAGAGAGCACTGTACAGCAACTTAGCATGTGAATTGCATATAACAATCATGAAAGTTGGGATTGTAGAGGAATCATGGAATTTGGAGTTGTAGAGTAATTATGAAATTAGGGGTTGTAAAACTTAATCATGAAACTTAGAGGCAGAGAGGGCAATCACGAATCATTTCCCTGAGTCACGTAAGGTCATTGCAAACTTCCCATCAGAGAATTTGTTCAATCATGAAACTCAAGTTCAAGTCAGGAAACCTATTACCTTGCCATCACAGATCAAATCATGGATCACAATTCACAAATTTTCTGCAACACCGCTTTCATGATTGCCAAACTATTCAGATATTGCATGACTGAGGAATCATGAAACATGATTGTGAAACTATGAAATGTGATGTTAAAATTGTACTTAATCAGGGAATTGACAACAAGTCATGGAAGATTTAGTTGAATCTGGTTTATGTCGAACAAGGACATCTAAAATAAGCTGCATAAAGTCATCACTTTTTCAAGGTATGAATAACCCAATATGGTGGAGTGGCTATCATTTGTGTCTTTCATGAATCATTCACCGCAGAGTTGATTGTCTATTCACAGCAGGCTGGGGCCGCATTGGATTGTTTGAGGTATGACTTATTTGAAATTATTTTTGCTCCTTTTCAAGACTAAAATATCCACAGCTGGAAGAAAATACAAACAAACATGAACAATAGACCATGACATTGCCATGACATAGATTCTAGAAAGTAACAATTAACCTATCATGTGACTACAGACCAAAACTAATGAAGTGACATATAAGTACATATAACTGAGGCCAAAGGATAACTACTTAGTCCAACATATACCTATGAAGTACTACTTTTTCAGCATGAGTTGAGTACACAAAACTGCCAAGTGAATACAAATGGATTTGGATGAAAGAAGAGGGAAGGATAAATAAAATAACAAAAAGAACAGGGAGAAATATTGCTTCCTTGGGGATGAACTGTTCCTATGCTGGAAACATTTATGCACCTACTGTAGGAAGCAAATGGCAGGGGGTGCACCTCCTTAGTGGATTTCAGCAACTCAGTTGAAGTATCTCATAGTATGCATACATCCTCATACTCTGAGCCTTGGACATATACATCTACCTTGTGCTGCAGAAGAAACTGGACAATATCATTGTGGCCCTTGGTGGCAGCTGCCTCAATTGCACTGCCATATATACCCTCTTGGCCATCAACATCTGCATTGTGCTCCAGAAGAAGCTGGACAATATCCTTATTTCCTTTTGCAGCGGCTGCCTGGAGTGGACTCCCATATACACCCCCTCCAGCATTTACATCTGCCTTGTGCTTCAGAAGAAGCTGGACAATATCACTATGCTCTTCAGTGGCGGCTGCCTCAATTGCACTGCCATATACACCCCCTTGGCATTAACATCTGCATTGTGCTCCAGAAGAAGCCGGATAAGATCTATATTTCCCTTTGCAGCAGCTGCTTGTAGTGGACTCCCATATGCACCCTCTTCAGCATTTACATCTGCCTTATGCTTCAGAAGAAGCTGGACTAAAGCTTTGTTTCCTTTCATAACAGCTAGCTGGAGTGGACTCCCGAGTGCTTCTCACATTGGGCATTTACATCTGCCTTGTGCTCCAGAAGAAGCTCAGCAATATCCTTTTTTCCCGCTGCAGCAGCTGCATGGAGTGGACTACCATATGCACCACCTTGTGCAGTTAAATCTGCCTTGTGGTCCAGGAGAAGCTGGACAGTACCCTTGCTTCCGCTATAAGCAGCGGCTTGAAGTGCAGTCCCATAATACCCCCCTTTAGCATTTACATCAGACATGTTTTCTGCAAGTAAAAGCCTAACTATAGATGGCAGCCCAATTAAAGCCATATAATAAAGCGGTGTCAAAATTTTTCCGTCACTAAACGTTGGAGTAAATACACTACTCGCCCCACTCTGATTATCTGGATTATAAATTCTAATCCAATTCACATATGGCAGTTGATGGCTGCCTCTCAAGAGTGTCATGGCAAGGTCTCTGGCATATTCGAGCTCAGGACTTATTTCAGCAACTTCATCTTTCAGCATTTTCATATGAGATGGCCACTGCTTTGCAGCATATAGAGCTAAAGGATAATCCTTCCACAAAGCCCAAACAGCTACGCGGCCGTGTTGGAAATCATAGGGTAAGTCTTGGTCAAACTGCAATAGATAGACAAGGCATGTTTGACATATTGTGGAGTGAGCCAAGTGCTCATCAATTTTAAATTGTCCGCTTCTGTGCACTTGGGCATGTGTTTGAGTGAGAAACTCTTTCACAGAATTGTGGGCAAGCTGAACAATTTTTTGCCCATTGACAGTGATCAATGTGGAGTCCAAGATATAATAAACCATCCTTTCAAGCTCTGATGACCGAGCATCAGGAGCAAATAATTGAGCATTCAAATCTACAGCTAGAACCTCTGTCATCTGTGTAATTGACAGTGGTTCAAATGCATAAGCCAACCACATAAGAAGCTTTTCTGCATCATGAGAATGTTCACTTTCTCTCATTCTTGTAAAAGCGAGAGTGTATGTTTCTTCCAGGGTCTTGGGTAGCTTCTTCAAAGTTTCGCAGATGGCTTTGGGTGTTGCACATCTTTGCAAGATAGTTACTTGGCAGTCAACCCAACGGAACCTTTGACAGCACCAAATTAGCTAGAATTGAGTCCTGAGTTAGAACTACTTACTGTCCTTGAGCTCCTTCAATTAAGCAGCTAACCAGTTCTGTCAGTAGTTCTGGTTTCAGTTTGCGATAGCTTAACTTGTCCTGGAGATATTTGGTGATATCCTCATGGAAAGCATTCATCGCAGAATCAAGGTAAATACTCATTGTGGCACCATAGCTATCCTCTGCCACATATCGACTGGTTATTGCTATACAGAGATTTTCTCTGATATGAGCAAGATACTTGAAAACACTCATTGGCTCATTACATTCATCCATGGCATCCAGCACAAGGAATACTGGGCCTATATCCCTGGAAACAACTGCCAGAGTAGCCCTTATTTCTTCTATAGTGGGCTTCATGATGCCATGTTTGCACCTTGTGTATAACTCATGAAGGGCAGGATGAATCCTTTTACTGCTCGCAGCCATCTGGAGCAAAAGTGACTGAACCAACCCTTGAGCATTAGTCTTTGAGTTATCACGGTTGTCAAAATAATAGTAACAGCAAAGTAATGCTGAATTAGCCTGTAGTTCATTTATAATGGTTGTCCTAGAGAATCATGTGAGAAATATGAACATCATTTCAATGTTGCATGCATACGAAAGGAATGTTTTTCCTGATCCCACTAGATCCATTATGTTTAGATCTAAAACCAACATAGAGAAGAATTGTACCTTTGCCCTGTATCCACAGGATCCCTGCTTCTCTTTGGCACCACTTAACATATTCTGTGTGAGCGAGTATCCAATTTCCAGTGTCAGGTGTCTTATTATTATATGCCGCTACGAAATTAGTTGACGGATCCGGGGCCTTTAGCCAATCGCGGATCTTTGAGATGTCAAAGGGCTCTTGATTTACACTGTCAGCGGATCATGAAACTCGATAAAGGGATACCTACCCCGGGTGTGATAATTGTTGATATTTGTTGCTTTGATAGGTCTGATTAATTATTTTATCTGTTAATGCCAATATGAGTGGCTCACTCATATTGTTATCCCCAGCAACATTTGTAAAGGTTGAGCTTCCTTGGATGGTAAAGTTGGATGCACCCGAAAGCATGGATAAAGGTACATTCCCTGAGCATCGCTGAAGTTAGCACCACCTGCCAACGTAGTGATTGACCTTCACCTTCTGTCCCTTGTAGCCTTTTTGGAATGGGAATACCGCTTTCTGCAGAGGAAGACATTTGAGTAGGCTTGGAATCAATAATTGGATGATGATGGTAGTAGTCTAAGAAGAAACACACCTGCAATCAGGCACGTGTACGACACGCGTGGCCCGGTCCCGTGTCATGATGGCTCCCCAAAACTTGTTTTCTTTTGACACTGTAAGATCTAGTTCCTCATTCCGGATACTCATAGGCTAATTTCAACCAGATCATCTGATCGCTATTGGTTACGCAACATGCACTCTTTTTAATGAGCATACCTAAAATTATACATTACACATTGTCTTTTAGATCAATAGGGCCACAGGCCCGCCCAATTTTTTGTATATTATTGATGATCCAACCCTCTATCCAACAGACTGGATTTATAGTTTTACTTACGCTCACTGTACACAGATGTTGTAGTGTAGGACCTACCATATCCTACAGGTTGTATGATGGTAATCAATATGAGCCAGATTATGATGCTATTGAATAGCATCATAAGTGAAGATTTTTGACAAGGAAGAGAAATAGGGCTCACATTTTAGCATTTCTCAAGCAAACTTGAGACTTGAGTCATGCCATAGCATCTGCAAAACCTGGGTTTTGATCAAAGCAGTTCTGTTCAGTCGCTATTCAGTCCAAAGCATCTCAGAGCAAGGGTACTTGCTGTAGAGCACTCTGAGCTGTTCTGGGTTGCTTCGGCGGCTTTGGCAGCTTTGGAGCGCTCCACAGTGCTCCAGAACAGCCAAAGCTCATCCCAGGTTTTGCAGATGTAGCCAGCAACAACGTACATATTAATTGCAGATTGGTTACCGGTTTATTCACATGGATGATGGCAGGAAAAATGGGAGCAGTGGATAAGGTCTAACCACCTGAGCATTTGCAAGATGACCCTCAGCTGTCCTTGAGAAATGTCAGCAGTACTAATAGGCACTCGGGAAAAAATCACGGGTCTTCCACAGAGTTTTGAAAATGGCAATACTTAAACAAGATTCATTACAGTATGCATAGCCCAATATGGTGGAGTGGCTACCATTGCTGTCTTCCATTCACCACGGAGTTGATCACAGCAGTCTGGGGCTCGATTCCCCGCGTTGGATTGTTCGAGGTTGGTAATCATGTTTTAGCAACGTTTTAGTCTTGAAAAGAAGGAGCAAAAGTCAGTTGGAATCCCCCCAATTGGAAGAAATTACTAAGGAACTTGAAGGAACTGACTATGATCTTGCTTGCACCCAGCTGCAGAGAAAGAATGAGAAGCTTCAAGAAGGTTTGTTAAATGTGTAGAAGGCTGGTTTGTTGGATAATAAAATAGAACAAGATATTACCACTCAGGATAATATATAGCACAACGGCAGAATAGAGTGAGAAGCACGATATATTCCGTTTGCCCCCTACAGCACTGAGAGAGGGGCAATTGGATGAGGTAGCGTATATCTAGCTACTGCTTATATACTGGTAATGGGGGTGATAGGAAATAAGTACGTGTAAGTACATGTCAATAATGAGTGTGAGATAACTATGAGCTTGATCAATCATAACAATGATACTGATATCTTGTGATATCCAACATGGTTGATCAAGATGCTTTCTCAGACAAATTCCATGAGTCTAGACCTGGTGAGGCGAAAGTCAACAGATTGGCTGGGGCTGGGCAGCTCGCGGTAAAGGGTAAATGTCATCAACCTCATCAACAAAATAAGTACCGTCAGACATTGAATAAGAGACTCCAAATAAGCAACTACAGAAGAGCATTCAGGCAGATTCAGGCATTCCTGTGGATCATTGGTAGATCCTGAAAGATTTGTGCAAAGAACCTCACCGTATGCGCCATAGTGCAGACATTCACCCTTCCTGGTTGAAAGCGCATGCTTAGTTCCTACAAAGATGTAAAGTTGTAGCATACTTACCTAGCAATTGCTGATGTAACTTCGTAGGGACTTGGGATTGGCGAGATCAGTGAGGCGAAGGGGAAAAAAATAAATCGAGGATCTTCCATTAATTCCAACTAGTGCGGGGAATTGAGCCCCCGAGCTGCTACATTCCTATGCATACATACGAAAGACAGCGATGCTAGCCACTACACCACACTGGAATAGCCAGGCAAGATTACACTTCTTCCAAACTCAGTTCAGGCATTCGCGGGGTGACACTTCAGAGATTTGTACAAAGGAGCTCCATATGCGTCAAGGTATGTGTGGTGTAGGCATTCCGCCATCCTAGTGAGAGTGCACACGACCAGGGATCGGAAGCTGTAGTCTACCTGTACGCAATTGGCGACATAATGTAGGTAGGTAAGTGTCTTGGATTGAGGGAGTGTTGAAGAGAGGAAGGGAAAAAAAAAATAGAGACTTCTTTTGGCTTTCCATTCCAATGCGGGGAATCGAACCCCGGGCTGCTGTGAAGATTGTTCAATAGGAACTACGCAAATGAAAGACAGCAATGTTAGCCACTACACCACACTGGATTACATTGAAGTGACTGACTCTTCAAGTTGATCAAGCGAGTTCGCCACTCCGGCCGTCTAAGCTCGCAAAGCTAGTTAATAAAGTGAAACCAAGTCAAATAGGCACCCCAGGGACTAGGGTCACAGTTCACTTCGAGTGCCAAATCAACCGTTGGGGTGTCGCATCACATCTACTCCAAGTACTTCGACACGGTGAAATAATCCATCGAAACAAAAGAAAAAAGGGAGTGTTCACGAGAAGAAAAACGGACAGCTTAATTATTATCACCCCTTTCTATTCCAATGCGGGGAATCGAACCCCGGGCTGCTGTGAAGATTCTTCACCGTCTACGTGGATGAAAGACAGCAATGTTAGCCACTACACCACATTGGATTACTTTGAGTTGATTGAGTCTTCATGTTGATCAAGTGCCAAGTTAGCTACTTCGGCCAACATCTAAGCTTGCAAAGCTAGTTGATACGATATCTACCCAAGTAAGTAGATAAAGTGGCCGTCAGTACCCAGGGTCACTTCGCGTGAAATAACTGGGGTTTAACGTCGTATCTACTCCATCTTAAGTACTTCGACGGCGGTAGAATAATCTAGCAAAACAAAAGAAGAAACGGTAACAATATTTCAGGGAATAAAGAACAAAATAAAAAGGGTGTTCCGGTGCATAGCCGCCTCTCGCTTTCCCGGACCGTATACTTAACTCGACGACAAGGTTCAATTCGGTACCCGCATCCCCTGATTCCCATCCTCTCAATGCCATCTGCCCAATACCATCCCTAACACATCCCTTTGTCATTGCCATAATTTACCTACTTAGCTGTGGTGACTGCGCAGGACTGCGCCGAGTAGCAAATCAGCCTGCACGTCTACGAGTCACGACTTTCCGACTCTGTTTATCAATGCAGTCGAGAGAGGAGGATGTAAGTATAGATCCAATGAACGTGTGTGAGTCTACTTATGGATACGATTCGAAACCTCCGATCAGCACTGGGTAGTTGGAAGAAACACTCTCAAGTTGTTCCATGATTTCGGGTGATGGAGGGGGCTATGTACCAGCGCTTCACCTCTAAATTGCGTGTTATGGATCAAAGCAGCAATTCATCTCGTTCGAGCACAGTGTTCGGCTGCGGATCTGTTTGAGAAATATATGAGCTCTGGTCATTGTATTCAGACGTGTCGCGCTTGCGTTCTTTCGCCAGCTGAGCCCACGCGCTCGCTGAAGACCAGTTCCTGAGCACCCAGTACGGTATTTCATTGGATACCCGCACCGTACGTACGAACACAAACTAAAAGCGCTTGTGATATCCCCGAGATCTCGATCCCTGATGGTCTGTAACTCTTAAGCGCCCAAAATCTTTCCGCGTTGGCAGTGCCATCGCGCTGATAAATTCTCTCCTTATACCCTCACTCCCTCATTCACGTTGGGCTTTTGTTCTATATCCCTAACTTACCGCGTATCTATGGCTGAACTACCCCAACTGACAATCGCAGAACCACGACCGCAACAAGAGCCATGGCCACGGGCAGAGCGAGAAATCCACCGCGTCGTGTCTCAGCAACAAAGCTGGATCCAAGCTTCGACGGACAACTACCAGAACTCTATATCTGATGTTTGGTATTTGAAGAATATAGAATTTGGCGAGGGAGAGAGTCGGAAAAGCTATCGGATTATCACGCAGAATTTTAATGGGCCTTGTTCGCTTATTGCTATATGTACGTGGCAAGGTACCTGGTGGAAATACTGATTCTGAGACTAACCTGGTGACACAGGTAATATCCTTATACTTCGTGGCGCGATAGAGATTCCAGCTGGGCGGACGAGTGTCTCATACGAATATCTTTCGCAACTTGTAGCCGAACACCTCCTCATGACATGTCCCGACGTGGATATATCCGCCGCGCTCGAAATAATGCCTCTCACACAGAGTAAGCACCGAATCCTAGGCTTAGCCCGTTCTCGCTAACTGAAACCAAAGAGGGCATGGATCTAAACCCACTGTTCACCGGAGCCAAGTCATTCCGCCCCCAGGGCCTCGGCGGCGAGCTCAAGCTTTTCGAGCAAGTCGGTATCGACCTGGTACATGGATGGCTTGTCGATCCCGCAAGTCCTGAAGCCGACGCTGTTTCTAGAACTTCGGATTATGATAGCGCAGTTATGCTGATAGCGGAAGCGGACCATATCACGAAGGGCCGGTTCGTTCTCGATATCTCAGAGGAGGTGGAAATGCCACAAGCGAGCTCGAGTCGGTCGCCGGTGTTTTCTAACGAGGACAGGGCCAAAATTGAAGATGGTACGTTCCCATTCCTACCCGCTTTCCTTTTTTTGTTTGTCTCACTTTACATTCACCAGCCACAACCATCCGTCGTTTCCTCGACAACACCCAATCCCAACTAACCTACCACGGCCTCTTCCACCTCGCTTCAACCAACCCCCCAGGCGCGCTCATGGCGCTCTTCCGCAACCTCCACCTCTCCGTCCTCTACAAACGCAGCAATGCATCACACGATCCATCTCTCTACACCCTCGTCACAGACCAAGTCTTCCTCAACGAGCCTTCCATAGTATGGGAGCGCATCGAAGACGTTGACGGAGGGTCATCGACCTTCGTAGATTCCTGGTTCACCAAGTCGACACCTATCGGGGGCGATTTTGCTGGGCGAACGGCGGAGGAGGCAGTTAACGCCGCCGAGAGAGAGATGTCCGAGTTTTACCCCTCGGATCCACTCGAGTACGTTAACCACCATATCTTAATTCTAGCTTCGCACTAACCTAGTACTCTTCTTCTTCGCGTTCATAGCCTGGCCCTCGCACAGCAACTCCAGGCGGAGGAAAACGATCGGGCGCTCGGGCGCACGATGCAGCAGATGAGACAACAGAAAGAACGCGAGGCGCAGAGACAGCAGGCCGAAGAAGAGAAAAGCCAGAAGAAGAAGAAGAAGGATTGTATTATTATGTAAAATGCGGGTCTCTCATCTGCCCATCGAGTTTGGACTCTCGGCGTCGAGGTTTGTCTCATGGCTTATTATACCCTATACAGAGTAGATTTCAACTTGGTTCTCGCACACGTCCATTGTATTCAAGTTTTTTTTTTGAGGGGTAAATGTAGATATTTACATATATAGATGTTTTGCCGCACTTGTAGCTCAATTGCAAAGTAATCTCGTATAGGCGTTGAATTGTCTGCGTGGAGACAGATCGAGACCTACAAGTTTGATCAAGACTCACCTACTCTTTAGGATTCCAATGTGGTGTAGTGGCTAACATTGCTGTCTTTCATCGCCCGTCATGACATCTCCCACAGCAGCCCGGGGTTCGATTCCCCGCATTGGAAATAGCTATTCTCAGTTTTTTTCTCTTTCTTTGCAACGCAACACTCTAATCCCCTCGTATGATATGGATACGTCATATACATATATACCTCACTCAAATAATGCCAATTGCCCACAATTGCCCAACGGTACCTTGTACATATATTATATATGCCCTTTAGATCTCCAGGCTTTTACCCAGGTTGTGAGAGTGCCCACACGACATCACCAGTCTCTCAGCTGTCAGCGGGATTGTCTGAACCGCCGACCTTGGGAGTCTGTTTGCAAGGAGACAAAGTGGGCACTTATTCAATTGATTCTCATAAAACTTCCTCAATGTAACTCCATCACACTCCAATGTGGTGTAATGGCTAACATTGCTGTCTTTCATTGCTGACTTTCATTACCCCAGTTGTAAGCATTTATTCACAGCAGCCCGGGGTTCGATTCCCCGCATTGGAATAACACTGGAACACGATGCACCACATATCTGTTTTTTGCACCTCCCTCGATACACAAAAGATACATCAGATCAAGTTGACAATAAAGGTAGGCTGTGCATGCCCTTTCTGCATTTCAGCCTGTATGGGGTAGTGCCTACAGTAAGCTCCTTTCAACCCAGTTACTCAATCACTCCCCATTACTGACTCTGAATACTGAGCTTTGTATCACTGAACCTCAGCTGAGGGTTCCAAAGAGAACAAGTGTGTTGTAAATACTCAGCGCAGGGAACTGAATAAGCCGTGAGGCTTGAGAGATAGAAGAGAACTGGATAACTATTTTAGATACTGGCTTTGGAGAGAGCCTTATATACTGTACATACTGTATAATATTGCTAATACGATGAGTAAGGATACGGACATATGAACATACCGATCCGGCTACCTAATCTCCGGAGTTGCCACATTGGCAATATACAACAAAGTGAATACATGAATACACACAATACACACCTTGGGCCACTAATCAAGATGCAATGGGATTTAAATGATCCAATATGGTGTACTGGCTAACCATGCTTATCTGCTCAGACTGCTCTCTCGAGTCAGGACCCAAGATAGGAAGAACATGTGGATGATTTGAGTGTAGGATTGAACTTGGACGACAACAGGTGGGACTCTCCTTACCACGGCTTGGAGTGCTGGACCAGTTAAACGCGAACCTGTGCGGAACGTCGTTGTTCAGAACAGAAGTCAGTGTATCCGCAGGAGCAGCATCAGTCGGACTGCATTTTCCCCTGGGCAAACTTTTCTTCTAGTGTTCACACCGTGAACATTTGCTCACATATGCGCAGACAGGAACAGAGGTGGAGGCGCAAAACAGGTGAGTGAAGAATTTGGAACTAACGACAAGTTTCTATTCAGGACAAATTCAGGATTTATTTCAATGGAAGGAAGGTGTTTTGAACCCCACATGAATGGCCTGGCACCCGTTTTGGGCTTGAGTCGGTTGCCAGTGTTTCTAACAAGCACATGGCCAAGTTTGAAGATGGTGCACTGCATTCCTATTCCTGTGTGCTTTCCTTTTTAGTTTGTCTCGTCTTACATTTACCAGCCACCACCATTTGTCGTTTCCTCGACAACACCTAATCCCAACTAGCCTACCACGGCCTCTTCCACCTCGCCTCAACCAATCCCCCATGCGCGCTCATGGCGCTCTTCCGCAACCTCCATCTCTCCGTCCTCTACACATGCAACAATGCCGCCCACAACCCACCTCTTTACACCCTCGTCACAGATCAAGTCCTCCTTAACGAGCCTTCCATCAACTGGGAGCGCATTGCCGACGTTGACGCCGGCTTAGCGACCTTTGTAGATTCCTAGTTTACCAAGTCGACGCCTGTCGGGGGCGACCCCGCCGGGCAGGCAGCGGAAGAGGCGGTTAACGCCGCCGAGCAAGAACTGTCAGAGTCTTACCGCTCGGATTCACTCGAGTACGTTGGCCTATCCATATCTCAATTAGCCTCGCACTAACTTAGTATTCTTCTTCTTCTTCGCGCTCGTAGCCTGGCCCTCGCACAGCAACTCCAAGCCGACGCGCTCGGGCGCACGATGCAGCAGATGAGACAAAAGAAAGAACGCGAGGCGCAGAGACAGCAGGCCGAAGAAGAGAAAAGCCAGAAGAAGAAGAAGGATTGTATTATTATGTAAAAATGCGAGGCGAGGAGGAGAGTCGGTGGATCTTTATCTGCCCATCGACTTTGGACTCGCAGTGTCGATGTTTGGTTCATGGTTTATGGTCGAATGTTTTGGATTGTATACCATATAGTATATATACCCATACAGAGTAAGTTTTGACGATTCTCCCTGTATTCAACTTTTTGTTTGGGGACGTTTACATAGATGCTTGGCCACACTTGTAGCTCAATTACAAAGTATTCTCGTATAGGCATTGAAGATATGGGAATTGTCTCAAAGAAATGTTATGGAGACTTAGTTGATAGCCAAGAATCACCTTCTGTTAAAGATTCCAATGTTCCCGCTACCTCTTTAGGGTAGAGGGTCTTGTGGGCCTTCAGTTTGCGATCGCGCTCGTTCCTGTTTTACTCACGTGACCTGTCAATCTATGACCAATTACTTCGATCGTAAATCATTAAACGCGGTGGTTAATTCCCTTTCGACCTCTTTACTTCAGCCCACTAACACAACACTAGCCCCCCTCCACTAAGCTTCAATCCAAGGACACTCTTTGAGGGTTGTTTACATTCCTGATGTCTATTACTCTTTCGTTTCGCCCTCGCTTGTATCCCGGCTGGTTGCTCACACCCTGCAGGCCAGCGTCTTCTCAGATACTGTGACTTTCTCAGCCGAAAATCACATGCTCTCTCTTCCTTGTTCCAGCTATCTGAATGTCCACCTGACATCAACGCTGTCTTTGGCACCGATCTGCATGCCTCCTCTCTGTCTTCTGTTGAACCCGCTGCGTTGTTGCCCCATTACAATTTTCAACAGGCTAATGCTTTCCCGGTAATTTACCATCGCGGTATTCATTTCCCAGTAAGTCTTTGACATGATGAACTGGAGAATTTTCAACGGTTGGTACAGGTGAAAGTGGCGTTTCCAGAGGCAGTCCCCCTTCCTCTCCCTTTTTCAGCGGTCCAGGTTTGTTCTGTCCTCCAGAGCTACTATCTCAAATTTCTGATTACGTTGCAGGTGGTCTGTTAGGAGTGCAACAACCCAATCTTACCCCTATCAATAACTGTACATTTGTTCCTGTTTTACGCGATGTCTGCGCTAACCATTCACTTTTCAGATGTCCCTTTCAGTGAGCGTTTCATGGGAGGTCATGCAATAGCTGCAAGCGTGACCTCTGTTAGAGCTGCAACAGCTGGACATGCAATTGCTGCAAGCATGTCTACCTCCAGAGCTGAACCTGTAGCTGAAGTTGTCCGTGATTCTTCTCACAACATCCCAATTTTTTGTCTATCTAAAACGCATATGAGCTGTTTGTACGTCGCTCTGATAGGTTCCTACTAGGCAGCAAAAATACATGCTTGTAAGGGAGGTAGTGAGCACTGCCGTGTACCGGCGCTATTGGTTATGGTGTAGTGGCTAACATTGCTGTCTTTCATCACCCAACCACCACCATCTATATTTTCGGATCGAACTTTTAACCCAGCCAACTCTGCAGCTCTACTCTACACTATAATTCCTTATCTTCTTACCAGTTTCCGGGTCTCAGAACAACAACTGGGTCGTCTCACAAGAAATATGTCCCAAGGCATCCTGAGACATAGTCGCTAGAGTCGCTACTGCTGCTACATCGTCTCGCAGATGACTTAGGAAGTGTCCAAGGTATGCTATATAGATCTATGTATGCTGATGAACTTGTATATAGTATTTGTTGCTTTCGCTGCCTTTGCCGCCTCCGATATTACGGATTCTTCATCCCATGGACCTGTGATACTCCAGGTTTGAGATTTACGCCCTTCTACCTGGCTACAGCCTCTGTAACCCTCCCATTACTGTTGGCACTCCCAGTTCTCTGATACATCAGCCCTACCATCTGAAATTATCAGATTGAAAGTGAGTGTTAAAACTGAACAGAGGCTGGCTTGTCCTTGGGTCATTTTGATCTCCCACCCTTCAATCATCTGCTGTGGCTCCTGGTGGCCTGCTCCTCCCTCCCAAAGCTCTCCTCTCTTGAGCCACTCACTCTCTTGGAATTATTTTGAGTTGGCAGAATTTACAACTCTTTGCACAGACTGCCATATTTTATAGGCATTCCCTATAACAGACCTTCACCCCTGTTTAGCTCATTAATGGGGACACTCCTCGCTTGCTCATAACCGATTTGTCCTTCGACTGGAGTGACAAGGGTACAGTTTTGTTTACAAAGAGGTTGGGGGGGATTCTGATAGCGTATGAATGCTCCTTACGTTCACATAAAACCCTAGGGTGCTGGTGCGCCGGTTTCGCCACTGGTTGCGTGGGATTTGGTAACTTGTGCAAATAGGGATAGCACAGGAAGCCGCCCAGGATCTCGCAAGAGCCATTAAGGCCACAGTGCGGTTACGCCTGCTTGGGGACCTGGTTTTACCCTAGCTCCCTCCCTCTTTTTCATTAGGGCAGAATGTGCTCCATTGAGCTGTAGATAGGTAATCGTAACAGCTAGCCTTGTACTTATGTACCTGGCCTTGCTAACATCCCTGCATCGGCCTCGCAGTCTACCTTCTCCATGAGAGTCGAGCTCGCTGCCTGTGCTGGTGTAGGGACCGGCTAGTTCCCTTCGGGGGACCGCTTTCAGCTGAGGCTGAATGGGCCGTGTAATCAATTCCAATTCCAATTCCAATTCACCCATTGTAACGTCACCACACAGCAGCCCGGGGTTCAATTCCCCGCATTGGAAATAGTTTTGACTGGAGATTATCATACTTTTCTCTTTCTTTTCAACAACTGTCTCTAATCCATGACTCGGATGATATGGATAACTCATATACATATATACCTCACTCAAATAATTGCCCTAAGGTGCCTTGTACATATATTATATATGCCCTTTGGATTTCCAGGCTTTTACCCAGGATGTGAGAGTGCCTACACCACATCACCCGTCTCTAAGCTGTCAGGGGGATTGTCTGAACCGCCAACCTTGGGTTCTGTTTGCAGGGAGACAAAGTGGGCACTTATTCAATGGATTCTCATAAAGATTCCTCAATGTACTTCCATTACACTCCAATGTGGTGTAGTGGCTAACATTGCTGTCTTTCATGAACCCTTTTAACTTAAGTCCTAGTTAGTGTATTCACAGCAGCCCGGGGTTCGTTTCCCCGCATTGGAATAACATTGGAAGACGATGCAACACCGCATATCTGTTTTGGGACTGATTTCAATGGAAGGATAGAAGGTGTTTTACTTAAACCACATATGAACGGCCTGGCACCCGTTTTCCTGAGTGGGCTTGAGTCGGTCACCAGTGCTTTCCAGCCACCACGATCCGTGATTTTCTCGACCACACCCAGTCCCAACTAACCTATTCCACCTTGCCTCAACCAACTCTCCCGGCGCCCTCATGGCGTTTTTCTCCAATCCGTCTTCTACAACCGCCTGAGTAATGCAGCCCCCAATCCATCTCTCTACACCCTTGTCACAAACCAAGTCTTCTTGAACGAGCATCCCATTGTCTGGGAGCACGTTGAAGACGTCGACGGTGGAGTAGGGTACTCCAGTCGGACCTGCCCTTAGTCAATCACGTGGTATCATCTCGTAGTAGATCCATTGTCATTAGTAGATCTCAGGTTATACAGTCATGTTCTAGTCACTACGAGCCCAGTTCCCGCTCGCTGTATCCTCAGCAGACCACTCTGGCCCACTCCATCATGGTGATGAGAGTGTTTTTTGGCTTACGCAGGTTTTTCTTGATTCCATTCGTGTGGGCCCAGAGTCATCCGAAGTAGTGGCTCAGCATCCAGCCCCTACACCGTCTGTTTTCGTCCATCCTCACTCTGAAGCGTACTTAGCAGCATGACAAGCTGTTTTGGACCCAGGAGCACCAATTCTGTTCATTTTTCTGCTTGCTGTATGCCTCGACACGCCGGTAGCAGCATCCTCGAACTCTCTATCATTCCATCACACATCACTTTCACACAAACTTCCCGCTGTTGCGCATACGCCTCGTTTGGAGTCCTTGGTTTAGTTGAAGCGCCTTGAGGCCCATGTGCTCGTACAGACAGCTTCCGTGCAACAGATTAGCATTGGGGTCTTGTACGAGTTCGACCCAAAATAGGTGGAGATAGTGCAGGACTTTCAGGTTAGGTTAGTATGGCATTGTGGATTGGGTAGTTTCACTGGAGGTTTTGACTTTGGAGAGTTTGAGGCAACGAGGGCGTTGCCATTTTTTATTGGGGGCACATGGAGTAGGGTACTCCAGTCGGACCTGCCCTTAGTCAATCACGTGGTATCATCTCGTAGTAGATCCATTGTCATTAGTAGATCTCAGGTTATACAGTCATGTTCTAGTCACTACGAGCCCAGTTCCCGCTCGCTGTATCCTCAGCAGACCACTCTGGCCCACTCCAACGGAGGCTCAGCGACGTTTGTAGATTCCTGGTTTACCAAGTCAATGCCTACCAGGGGCGACTTTGCTGGGCGAACGGCGGAGGGGGCGGTTAACACCACCGAGCGAGAACTGTCCGAGTTTCACCCCTCGGATCCACTCGAGTACGATATCTTCATTAGCTTCGCACTAACGTAGTATTCTTCTTCTTCGCGTTTGTAGCCTGGCCCTCGCACAGCAACTCTCGGCGGAAGAAAACGATCGCGCGCTCGGGCGCACGATGCAGCAGATGAGAAAACCAAATGAATGGGAGGAGGCGCAGAGACAGCAGGCCGAAGAAGAGAAAAGCCACAAGAAGAAGGATTGATGTAAAGATGCGTCTCTCTGAGGCGAGGAGGTTTGGCGAGGGGAGAGTGGATCTTTCGAAGGTTTCAAATCGTATGCCATATAGTAAATATACCCTCATACAGAATAGATTTCGACTCGATTCTCGCACACGTCCATTGTATTCAAGTTTTTTATGGGGGGGAATGTAGGTGTTTACATAGATGTTTGGCCGCACTTGTAGCACAATTGCAAAGTAATCTCGAATAGATGTTGGAGAAATGGAATTGTCTCGAAGAAATGTCACGGAGACTCCCGTGATAGCCAAGACTCACCTACCATTATGGATTCCAATGTGGTGTAGTGGCTAACATTGCTGTCTTTCATCACCCATTGAGCAAGGGAGAAAATGCAATTTTGATTACACCTCCTTAGTTCTTACTATCTATGCTGAAGCGTCCATTCAACAAGCCAGTCAGCTAGTACACTCTAACGTGAATACAATCATCCCCATAAATGAAACTTCTCAGGCGGACCACCAAAGTACCTATCGCCGACGACAGGGTTATCCGCAAGAATATCGTCAATGGCTTTGATTTCTAGAGCAGTGAGTTTGATGTCCCCAGCCTGCAAGTTCTCTAAAGTACGTGAGGATTTCCTAGATATAACCCATGAGATACGATGCGTCAAATGTACAATGGAGCTGCACATACGACGACCCGGGAAGAGGTAGCAGGTGGGGGCCTAAGCTAGCCACCCAAGCGATCGATAACTGTGCAGGAGTAACACCTTTCTTCGCAGCGACAGATTGCAGACCCTCCACGATCCCCCAGTTTGATTTGAAATTCTCCTCTTGAAAACGAGTGTAGTGAGATCGGAGATCACCCTCTTTGGAAACAGAATGAGCCCCGACGCACAAATTTGGGATGAGCCTTTATCTACACGTACCAGGTATATCACTCGCGGACTTGATTTGTCCTGTGAGATAACCACTTCCCAAAGGCGAGTATGCGACGACCGTGACGCCAAGCTCGCGAGCCGTAGATATCACCGCCTTTTGGTTTTCATCGTAGGACCATGGGCTGACTTCAATTTCGACCGCAGAGATAGGATGAACCTTATATAAAATCAACGTTGGAAAATGACGTTGCGTGAACTGAACATACCGTATTGGCTTTGCGCAGAGTATTGGCGTTACACTCCGACAGCCCAATATGTGAAAACTTCCCTTCTTTGACAAGAGTGACGAGGTTGTTCGTGATGGTTTCAACAGGCGTGTTAGGATCTATTCGAGCCGGTTCAAAGAGGTCAAGTTTCTTATTGGGGCCAAGCGCGCGCTGAATATTTTCGACGCTTGCTCTCAAGCAGTCCATACTTCCATCTGGTCCGCCGTTACGGATACCACCTTTCACAGATAGGAATGTTTTGTCGGCGTACTCTGGGTACTTGGCGTAGAATCTCGATAGCAGCTGCAAGTTGCTAGTACCCCAGTCCATCGCATAGAACTCGCCTGAAAGAAGCTGGTTAGAGTTAATCTAACGGGAAATAATATTCTACGCACCACTGTTAAGGAAAGCTTTTGTGCCGGAGGGTAAGGCGTCGACACCGGCCTTGATAGCTTCGAAAGCTTGTTCGTCACTGACGGGACTGGGGGTCCATCTGTATTTGTACTTAGTTAGTAAAGACGTTGTAAGCTGAAGCTGAAATCCCGCACGTCATTAGCATTAAACCATGCTAGAAAGATCTGGTTAGAGAGACAACAGCCGAAATCCAAAAAGATACCTACAGCAACAGCTCCTACCGTGATATCGGAAGCGGTACCACCAAGTCTGAATGTTCGAGAAGTCATATTCTGCTTTGAAATGGGCAATGGGTTAGAAGGTACATCGATGTTATACGATGTTCTGCAACGCAAATCCGTAGCGGTTGACGTCACTCAATCTGCTTGAGCGCTCCAAGGCACCGGCCGGTGCGCCTGTGGAGCCCTGTGGAGACCTGACACAGCCTCGTCCCTTATTTGGAGTCGGGACACCGGAGCGTTGATGCTGTGTCAGCGGAAGGTCGAGAGTTCGAGCCTCAATAGGGCAGATGTTTTATGGATCAGTTTTGCAACTACCTAATAAATAATTTGCATGGATACAGTTATAAAGGTAGTCCAAATTTTTACTGAGCTCACAGGTCCAACCATTCCACTGTATTTGGCACAAGTTTACAAGTTTAGGCTGGGATTCAGGCCTCAGATAATTTTACTAGCGTGTGGCTCGGGTCCAGGTTTGACTACCCGGCACCCGGGAGTGAACCCGAGACCACCCGGCGCACTCAAAATTTTACTTACAATGCCCAAATGCAATGAAGATTTTGCCATTATTTAATTCATTGTCACAGCAGGATTTGAACCTGCAGCCGTGAGCTAAGCTTCAAAGCTTTCCCCAGCACAGTTTACCACTATGCCAACATGACATTAATATTTGCTGGCTTCAGAAAATTTATATGGTGTAACTGTAAGCCATAAATACCTGTTATAACCACTTGAGAAAGTACTTACAGAATGTACATATGCTACTGTATAAATGCAGACAGTTTTTCTGAGCTATCCATTGGTATGATAAGGTGAAGAAGATGGTTAGATTTACTGACACTGAGGATTTTTTCGGAATGCTTTACTCAGCTGTAACATTAATTATGGCAGATTACAGTACTACCAATGAAAGAAGCAAGGGGAGGGAGCAATTTGTGTGAGGCCTTGAGTTTTAGCTAAGTAGTAGCTAGGAATTGGGTGTTAAAACATCCCTAGGTACCACAATAACACCTGGCATTGTGGCATTTGAATGGTTATCACTCATCAGAAAACCCATAAAATTGACCGAGAGGTCTTGGGTTCAAGCCAGAGTGTGACCAATGTTACCAGCACCTGAAAAAGCGCCCACCCGGCAGGTAAGCGCCCGGGAACCCGTACCCGTGTACACGGGTACGGGTATAGTGCCGGGGTCTGGTTGGCTTTTTAGGTACCTGACCCGACCCGAGCCACACACTAAATTTTACCAGTTTGAAGCAAGTTTGAATTTGACTCAAGCAAGCAGAAAGGAGATTCTTGTCACATGGATGAGATAGACAGACTAGTACTGGCTTTACCCACCTATGTGTTGTGTGGAAGACTCTGGGAAGACTGGAAGTTCTGCAAAGAGGTAATCTTAAAAGTGATTTGTATGGGTAGGCAACCCAGAGGACAAGGAAGAGAGATTAACTAGTACTCAGTTATTGCTGTAAGCTTGTACAAGCAGAGTAGTACTAGTACTGGCGATCATGCCGGAGGGAACAGGTGAAGATGGCTGTGATGTTGAAGCCTTGAAGGCCAGAAACACGAAAGATAGTATTCTTACACATATGATACTTATTGGCCAGCCTTCTAAAATGAATGGATTTGCAACTTACAGTAACAATATCACCAAAAAATCAGTTAT